AATTATATATGAATTTTCCAAATCAAAATTCGAAACCCCAAAAACACATACAGGCAGCATATATATTACTTAAGATGGCGGGGTACAGTGCTAAACATCCACTCACTTTATGACACCATTAAAAGGAAAAAACAAAAAAAGAGAATTATAATCAACTATAAACAGTAATTCATTACACCTGCTGGGGAGAAGTTGATTCAACGTCATCGAGTTCTCTCCTCAGCGGCTGTGAAAGCTCCCTCCGCGGCGGCGGGCGGCGGTACTCGGCGGTGGAAGCCACGGCCAACCCCAATAATAATAACAAAACCAAGTTTTTCCGTGCCATCACGCTTGAGATGAGGCGGTCAAGTAGTACACATATATATAAATAGAGTCATTATTATTATTAATGTGGATAAAGTAAAAAAAAAAAAAATGGAAATTATTATATAGTATTTTATTTAGCATTTAGTATTTAGTTTTTAGTATTGTTATGGGGTCAAAGTTAGTTGATAATTATCCGCACGCCTTGTGCCTATGGGTACGTCTATCAGTTTGGCGTTACATTTAATTTTGGTCAAAAATTCAAAATTGGTCTTATAATTTGGCCATTGTCCAAAAAACCACCCGACCACTTTCAATTTAGATCCTATAATTTGTTGATTTCATCAATTTTGTTCCTTTTTTTATCCGTACCCTGGATTAAAAAGTGACGTGGCATGAAAAAAGGACCAAAATTGATGAAATCGACAAATTATAGGACCAAAATTGACGTGCCACGTAGATCATAATCACGCCATGTAACCTTAAAAAAATGACACGTCATGCCACGTCACTTTTTAATTCAGGGTCCGGATAAAAAGGACCAAAATTGATGAAATTGACAAATTATAGGACTTAAATTGAAAGTGGTCAATATATGGGTGGTTTTTTGGACAGTGGCCAAGTTATAGGACCAATTTTAAAATTTTGCCTTTAATTTTGTCTGTAATTTTGGGTCGCCATTCATGTGAACTTAGTATGCTTAGAT